TGGACATATGTGTTAGTGTGTTAATGGGTTTGTGTGTTCAGTTTTGATAGGAATCTTCTTACTGCATAGTATCCAACCTGTCTCTTGATTTTTAAACCTTACCCATTACATACTAACATTTTTCATTCATTCTGCCCTCACTATATATCTTCATTGTCGGAACCTGAGAACCCCATTTTCCTTTGTCTTTCTCTATGAATTATTCGTTTAACCATTTGTGTTCCTGCATCATTTTCTAATGTGCTTCTGGAACACTTTGGCTGATGGCAAAAGCCTGGAGAAGAGATGGACAGCATATCAGCGATTAGAGATCAGTTCGAGCGACGTCTTTTGTCTTCGGTCATCTTTATTTTTCTCATTTGATGTTCTTACTCAGGGGGAGATTCGTCTTTGGCATTTCAGTCTAAAAAGGGGGAGAAATAGGATGTTTCTGAAGATGTTCGGGATTATGTTCTAGTTGTTTTCTTCTGATTACTTGTGGTTGCTGTTTTTGACATGTTTCTACAGGATGTAAGAACATGTATGTTTTGTTGTTTGATTGTTTTGTCTATTCTGACAGGGGGAGATACATTGTCACTCTATTTGACTTAGGTTCTGATATCTTGACGTGTTTTGATTGCTCCGATCATAGTCCTCATAGTTGTTTTGAAAGGAACTGTTCTGATGTTCTTACATTGTAGGTGTTTGAGTAGTTTACTTCCTGGTGTTCGAACATAGATAATTGCTTTGCTGTTTTGAGTATTATTTTATAGGTTATCTTCAAGAAACACGGTTTTCGAACTGAATGCCAAAGGGGGAGATTGTAAGAACATTGGTTTGGCATCATGTCCGACAAACCGAAGTGTTTCTAGAAGATTTCTTGTTAAGCAAGCAAAATAAATTAAAGGGAAATTTTTCTATTTATTTACTTGTGATTTAATTAAGTTCCTAATATTTATTATTAATAATATATGGTATATATTTATTGTAGTATGTATTATAGAATCTTAATCCTTTAGGAGAAGGATTACATAATATATATCTTATATATTTACTTACCATATATGCCACATGCCATAATTAGTTCTTTTTTTCTTGTAGGACAAGGAATAGGTGTCAAGGACTATGAAAGGATAAGCTTTCCATACAAGAAGAGTTCTGGACGTTCATGAGAAGATCTAAGGAGGATTTGGAAAGATTCACCACAAGATCTTTGAAGAGATCGGCTATTTTTGGAAAGTCATGTTCTTACCAGATTCTGGAAGGCAAGATTTCCATTAGAAGTTCAATTCTGAAGATCTTCAAATCACATGCACGAATTCCACATCAAAGAAACTTACCTTACATGAAGGATTTCGTCCAAATCAGAAAGCAATCAATTGGGAAGGAAATTGACTCATAAAAGGAAAGGAAGAACTTGGAGAAGACTCCACCCTAAGGAGTTGTATATATACCCTGCTTGAAGATCGAAGATATGCTGCTGAAATAATTATCTTCCATTCAATATTCGAGCTTCAAGCCTTTTTAGTTTTATTTTGTTCACAGTTCAGTTCAAGGGTTCTTACGCATCCAAGAACTGAAGCTGTTTAGTTTGTTTTATTTTATTTCATTCAAACACTTTTGTGATCAGTACTTAGGGATTAAGTATAGTGGTTAGCTCCAGGGATTCGGGAGATAGAAGTCCACGGGACGTGGCCGGAGAAGTAATTGATAGGATCGTGTGTAGTTGTGGCTAGACTAGAAGGGAGTTCGAGTCGTGTAAGTCCAAACTATACAAGTGTTCAACGGTTTATCAATGAAAGAACTCTGAGGGGAAGTGGGACACTTCCCTGAAGAGTTTTTACATCTTCGATTTATTGCTTCCGCTATTTACGCTGTTTATCCACGTTCTTACATCGTTTTGCGCACTCGAGTTAAAAATATATGTTTCATAATTAAATATTAATTATTAATTAAAAATATAAGATATGATGGACATTAGTATGTTACTAATTTTCCATTAAAAACATGTTAAAGTAAGGTTTTTTTAGGTTGTTCATTGTAATTAAAAAAATATGATGTGTATTAGTTTTTTACTAATTTACCATTAAAATTATGTCAAAGTAAGGGTTTTTTAGGCGGTTCATATTTTTACAAAACACTCGTCCTTTTAGAGTAGTATATATATATATATATATATATATGTGTGTGTGTGTGTGTGTATGTCTGTGTGTATGTGTGTGTGTGTGTGTGGTTCAAATGAGAACCAAGTCCTAGCGTGAAAACCGTGAGAACCGTTATTTTTAATTGTATATAGTGCTATGACTGATTGTGTTTTAGTGCTATTTTTAATTAGGATGTATTTTATTAAAAATAGCAATAAAATTTTTATTAGCATTTGTGAAAATGATGCACCATGCAATATTAAAAATAGCATCATACACAATAAAAAATAGCATCAAATATGGTTCTCACGGTTCTTACACCAGACATAGTTTTTATTTGAAC